TTCCAGGGAAGGTAAAAGTTAGATTTTAATTTTTAATAATAGATTTACCTTATGTGTTTACAGTCTCTAAATTCGTCATGCACATGTCAATTATCTAGTCACTAACATTTCCCATCATTCCTTGTTCCGCTATTACTGTCCGAAAAACTTAGTTGTCAAACCTTGAAATACATGCTACCGCTATTGCGTACTCTTCAAATAAAAGCCCTGTTCTGGCCAGTTCATGCACTATATTTATGGATATTCCCGGGACATTCCTGACTTTCACCATCCCAAATGTCAAATAACAACTTTATGCACTCGGTCTAGAACCCCCTGTATATACGCAATCTATTTAGATGTCTGGAACAGTATCTATATGTCATCTATTTGTCAAATTATAAAGCGCTTTCAATGTCAATTCATCCATCTCGTGCCCAGGCCACAAGACTGGGCTATTGCCTTTATGTGCTTTAATATAGTATCACCGAGAAAATAACTCTTCACACATGATATTATATAGTGCTGTTTACAGTCAATGTTACTTTTTTACGTTTTTTTGGATGCGCCCTCAACGGCCACGAAGGGGATTCTTTTCGGCCCTTGTTTCAGACTCGGCACCCAGGGACTCGTGAAATGAAAACAAATACCGATACGTACAATCAATAGACGCTGTAAAGGCTACGCTGATGTTACGTCCCAGCGTGACATAGCAAGTTTATGGGACCACATGACTCAGTATAGTGTTATATGCAATCGTATGGTGTCCTACAGGATTACCCCCCGGGGGGTACCCGAAGTTCAATTTTCCCGTCAGATATTTTTGAGTAAATTTTTTCCTGAATTGTCAACCACCTAATAAGCAATTTACTTATTATTCAAAGACATTTCTTGTCATATCGTATCGCCCGTATTACTCGCACAGACCCGTCCGATGTGTTCGGGTAATGGGTGAATTCTTTCTTCTTCCCTTTCCTCCACATATTGTCACCGATTAATTTCGTGAAGAGACGTTGGCGATTTCTTTTTTCATTCTCTTGAGATTCGGAACCTTGGCCAAAGGCGTCTTTCCAATATTCACTGAAATCTCCACGGTGAAGTCAAAATTTTAGTGTAGGGAAACTTTTTTTCGGATAATTTTGAGGTTTTAATCCACTATCAGAAGAAGCATTGAATACCATCCAAACACATTATTGTTAAAATACTCTATGAGCCATGCAGTTCCATCCTGAAGGCAAAATTATATTTCGAGCACCTTGACAAAACAAACCTTACCCTCTTGAAAGTAAGACTTTTTTTAAAAAAACACAGCTAAGCTAATTAATCATCTTTCCCAAAAATATCGAAGATTTTGTATTATCCTGTCACTATAAACGAATTGTGTTTTTGACAGTTTTTTTTTTCTATTTTGTACAAATAATAAAAATAAAAATAAAAATAATCGGATTCAGAGAGTAACGTGAATCCATGTAAACTTCGTTCAGGAAAACCACATCACCATTTCTCCTGTTTTTCAAGACAAAAGTGAAGTCGAGACTGACATGCGTTCAATACATAAAATGTCTCAAGTAATTTACGCCCACCAATCGTTGTATCGTGTGTTTATCATTGTGAGCTCATAGCAACATGCTTCCTCCTCATAACCTTGACCTAGGTTAACTGCCGTACTGAGCGGATTTTTGTGAACGTAAACGAGACGAAATCCTTGATCATGCAAGTTCGCCAAGATACTGTTCCAAAGTCTTAATTCATCTCGATGACCAGATTTCTTCCTGTGCCAGAGATGTATTTCAAATACGAGCTGTTTAACGAATTGTAGAGTTCCCATTTCGAGCATATTTTGTAAAGCATCCCACTCCGTCTGTTCGATGTCAATCTTTAAAACATCGATGTTTCTCTAAAAATGAAAAAAATCATAGTGAAGATTTGGTCGTTGATTTTGGCAAAAAATCAAAATGGGCGCAGTCGAATACGTAAACGCTACCTTTTTTGCTTTATTTTTAAGAAAAAGAATTTTGAATATTTGCTGTTAAAACTTTGTCAAGAACATTAACAAAAAAACAAATTAATAGGATTGTGTTTCACATACCTGCGTATGGCCGAGATAAAGCCGTACACCGTCCAAAGTTTTAACTTTCCATTTCTGGCCTCTGTATTTTCCCATGCCAATACCCCAGTATTCATCCGAATTCCTGTCTGACAAACCAATATTGTAAAACCACATTCCTTCTCGTATTATTCGCTTTTCAATACCAATACTGTGTAAAATGGATAACACTAGTTTATTAAGAGAATCAAATTTGCATTTCACGTTAAGTAATATTGTCTCCGTCATATTTTACGACAACTAGTAGATCAAAATTAAGTGTACCTTTGCTGAAAATATTCACATACAGCTTACCTTGGATCGAAGGCAAAAAGTTCACATCCGTAATCAACAAGTGACTTATCAAATGTCCAGTCGTTCGCAATTCTAGTGAATACAAGTAAATTCACCAACATTACACTCGAGAGGAAAATGGCCGCTAAGATCTCGTTATGTACGAGATTTGCGAGACTTGATTTTGCCCTTCAAATAGTGTTCAACTTTATTACGTCATAGCGTGTACTGCAAATACTGTGCTTACACTCGTTAGAGGGCAATGCGTGTGATGACAAGAGAGAATGTGACACAATTTGAAAACAAGAACACGTTCTTTACTCAACGAGATCTCGGCATGTCGAATTCAGTCTAATTTATGATATCACAGAGAATATTATTGTTACTATGATAAAAGCGAAACTAATAACATTCAGTAAATCCCACAATGCCATTTATCAGACCCTCAATTCAAATACGACGGCATTATGAAATTGGATATACTCACCCGAACGAGTACACTGTACATGGTGTATCCCATAAACCATATTTCTTGTCAAAACACAGAGTCCAGCCTCCATCATTTGCATTGCCAACTCGTTTTAGTTCATCACACTCGCCTTCAATATGCGTGATGCGTTTTAAAAGTTGTCTTGTTTCGTCACCGACTTTCAGACCGGCTCGGGGTTGTAACTTGAATGCCACTGTAAATGTCTGGCAATGTAGTTAAACACATTTGTTAAATACTGTGGAATAGAATGATCTGACACGCAACACACTCAGTATTACCATATATCATCTTTATTTTTGCTGAACAATTAGCATTTGTTTGAAGAGCTAAATCCAGACAGGACTTGTTTACTGGCGTTGCAGCCACAAAAAATAAATAAATGTAAAATGACTAATTTTCACTGGGTTTAAATTTCACTGATTTGCCATTTCAGGCATATTCAGTGGGTTTTAAATTCACGGTTTCGTCATTTAGATAATGTGTTCCATGTTAAATTTTACATATTCCCTGGGTTTTAATTTAGCGCATTTTCCAGTTAGCGAAATAAGCTAAATTAAAACCCAGTGAATAATTAATCCTTTTACAGTATATGGTGAAAGGTTCAAATGGATGCCAGATATTTTTTTGAATTTTGACCTCTGTTATTAATTTCAAAAATAGACATGGGAGATACTTTACTTTAAGCCTATGTACTAAGCTCTGCATTCAACAATAATTAATTATCATCATCTATTAAAACTACTTGAGTTAAAGACGTAATATTAACATTTTGTAATTACAGTGGTGTATATAATGTAAAATGTGTTACCTTAATCCAAGTTGTATGGTAACAGCAAGGGTACATTCTCCCAAAACCAATATCCATCATTTGAGATCCAGGTAGAGTTTGAACATTGACCAAAGAAAAGCCAATAAAATTGAGCTGCTGGACAAGCCTGTACCACTAAAAGCAAATAAAGCGAAAACCTCGTAACACTTACAATTTGGGGTTTGAGCGTTAGGTAACACAATCTACACGCAATCGTTTCCTTGATCTTGTATCGAGAAAATATTAGAAAACATTGTTATTAAAAGGAAAACAAACTAAAACGATGGGAGTTTGATCGGAGAGAATTGTTCTACGGTGGAACGCGATGAAACAACGATCAGGCGCCCTCTATGTGATATACGAGTAATCGGAATAGATGAACAGTTATTTCATTACCCGAGATACTTTGACTTTGATGTCATCCATATTGTCGTTTGTCAGGTTAATATGTAGCAGTAATTGATTGACGCGTGTAAACAGTTTTGTCGCCGACAGTTCATTGAGTAGTTCATCTGATTTCGAGTCCATGTTCAATTTCATTAATTGAATCTATTATTGAAATACACATAATATACGTTATTACACATCTGTCACCGTGACACTGTACTCCCACTGTACTGTATTCGTGCTTACTTTGCAGTGTCCTCGTAATACCCCCATAGTATCATTATATTATAAATCACCACTATTAGAATTAGAGTTGATTATGACGTGATAGGTTTACATTATTACACGATAAATCAACCTTTATTTGCAAGTAAATTTATTTCAACAAAAAGACTCTAAATTTAACGAAATTTGTATCAATGTGATGGCGGTGATTTATTCGGAGAAGAGTGTAGACACGATAATGTCCTCGTCTTCGCCTCACACATTATCTTGCCATAGGCCCTTCTTCTCATCCTATATCGCGTTGTGGGGAATTCATTATTGTTTAAATAATGGATATGTTGATATAAAATAAAGTATTGCTTCACTCTCAAAATCACACAACTTCCGACTCTGGTTGGTCTATACGCAATAAACTAGAGTAATGATTAAAACAAAAATTACATACTCTTTCTTCAACAATATTCCCCAAATCTACGTAATCGATTCCATGTTTATAGACTTTACATCCATGTAGAACATTTTCAAATTCAGCTTTCGTAGTGCTATCTTCTATTGACTGGCTATAAGAGTTCATATATATGGAGAAATTATCAGTAAACTCGGAGCTGGAAAGAGATTTACTCATAGAAAACAAACTCTCATAACTAAATGGCCATTTATCTTAAACCCAAGTACGATCGACAAATTGCAAGTGAAGGAGAAATAAATATGTAGTTTAAGTTTTAACTAAATATTACTCTACAATGACGAAGTATTGGCGTCGTGTAACTTATCAGTTACTATTTCTCGAACTTATGTTGTTTTTGTTAAGAAAATATATATGATATATAAATGAAAGAAATCATTTCAACATGACCAGAAGCTTTGTTAACTTTTTCTTAGACAATAATTTTATTTAGTAGTGATAAATAGTTGTGACGTCACAGCAGCGCACAACCGTAGCAAAATATAAATGTACACAAATACATACAAGCTGCTAATATATTTATAGTTTCAATAAGATTTTAGTCCTAATGAAGTCTGTAAGACTCACCTAAGAAAATCTATTGTACACGCTTCTTTCTTTTCGCCTTCGACATATAGTTGTCCGAGACTATCTAAACATATATCCCAAGACGTCTTACGTTGACCTTGAATATTCAAATTACGTGGACATTGGGCGGATGGTGTGGTTATCTTCTCCATGAATATTTGAGCAGTTTCTTTATAGGGCAGATAATGACTTGGCCTCCAGAAACCAGTCTCGATGTCACTCACTCGCCATCCTTCAAGTATACAAGAGAAAACAATTAAATATTTAACAAAATAAAAAAATATGACCCACGCCTGTATAAAGTCTTTGATCTGCCCAGATTAGTTTTTGACTTGCACAGTTTGGCCTCTGACCTTTACCGTTTGATCTTTGTCCTGCACAGTTTGACTTCTGACCTTTATCGTTTGGTCTGTGTCCTGCAGCTTGGCGTCTTACCTTTACCGTTTGGTCTTTGACTTGCACAGTTTGGCCTCTGACTTTTACCGTTTGGTCTTTGTCCTGCATACTTTGGCTTCTGACCGTTACCATTTGGTCTTTGACTTGCACAGTTTGACTTCTGATCTTTTCCGTCTGGTTTCTGACCTGCACAGTTTGGCCTCTGACCATTTCCGTTTGGTCTTTGATCTACACAGTTTGGTCTCTGACCTTTTTCGTTTGGTTTCTGACCTGCACAGTTTGGCCTCTGACCTTTGCCGTTTGGTCTTTGATCTGCACAGTTTGGCCTCTGACCTTTTCCGTTTGGTCTCTGATCTTCACAGTTTGGTCTCTGACCTTTTCCGTTTGGTCTCTGATCTTCACAGTTTGGCCTCCGACCTTTTCCGTTTGGTCTCTGACCTGCACAGTTTGGCCTCCGACCTTTTCCGTTTGGTCTCTGATCTTCACAGTTTGGCCTCCGATCTTTTCTGTTTGGTCTCTGATCTTCACAGTTTGGCCTCCGACCTTTTCCGTTTGGTCTCTGACCTGCACAGTTTGGCCTCTGACCTTTGCCGTTTGGTCTTTGATCTGCACAGTTTGGCCTCTGACCTTTTCCGTTTGGTCTCTGATCTTCACAGTTTGGCCTCCGACCTTTTCCGTTTGGTCTCTGATCTTCACAGTTTGGCCTCCGACCTTTTCCGTCTGGTTTCTGACCTGCACAGTTTGGCCTCTGACCATTTCCGTTTGGTCTCTGATCTTCACAGTTTGGCCTCCAACCTTTTCCGTTTGGTCTCTGATCTTCACAGTTTGGCCTCTGACCTTTTCCGTTTGGTCTCTGACCTGCACAGTTTGGCCTCTGACCTTTTCCGTTTGGTCTCTGACCTGCACAGTTTGGCCTCCGACCTTTTCCGTTTGGTCTCTGATCTTCACAGTTTGGCCTCTGACCATTTCCGTTTGGTCTCTGACCTGCACAGTTTGGCCTCCGACCTTTTCCGTTTGGTCTCTGATCATCACAGTGTGGCCTCCGACCTTTTCCGTTTGGTCTCTGATCTTCACAGTTTGGCCTCTTTTCCGTTTGGTCTCTGGCCTCATACGTTTGGTCTCTAACCTGTCCAGTTAGTGCTTTCACCTGCACAGTGCTATAATGTTAAACTGTATTATATATCCCAATCCATCTGTCAAGACTGGTCGATATTCATGTTAGAAAAACACAGAAAGTTGTACCCCTAATTCGTCATTACATATTGATTACATATATACATACATGTAGACAGAATCGAATTCATCCTATATAAGAAATATATGTTCAAATCTGTCTTTCTCATTCATTCAGTCAGTTGTTTTCTTCTTTGTTTAAAATTATTATTTAATAATATTGTATTGTTAATAATTAACATGACTTTGCATTACATTAATGCTATGATGTATAACGCAGTGTCGTCAAAGCACGGTGTATAGATAGCATCCATAAAAGCTAATTTGGTATTTAATATACTACACCAGTTATCTGTAAATGTGTTTTTGTTATATCAAACCAACAGACAACACAGTACACTTCCACACATTCGTATTCGTCATTAAGGTGTGGTAGCGTTCACATATTACCCCACATGGTAGCTGAATCATAACAACACACAGGCAATGCAGAGTGGTGCCTACCTGAGTATACATACACTAATCCAGTGATAGTAAAAATCGTGGCAAGGATTAGAGTTATTCTTCGTCGAGGTCGTAAACAATCGAACATGTACGCAGCGGATCTAGCCATGTCTGCCACAAAGCCGATGTTAATCATCAACCACCGAATACCGAAGTAAACACTCGACTATGCAAATGATGTATTGGTGATAAGGGTATTGCAGATTTACGAATATAACTCAATGTGATACCAAAATACTGAAATTTCTTCAATGTAATTTACATAAGCACAGAACCGAATTGCTGTTCAGCTTCATTGATAATCGCAAATGGCCATTTTATTATCGTGCAAAACAAATTATACAGGAATATATTTTTCTTGATAACTATAATTACAGACCAGTGAAGTTTGCATGTACATGTAAAAGTTTTTACCACAATAATAAGATTTGAATGCGCTTTGTATAGTTCGTTCCGTTGGGGCAAATCAGAACAACTTGAAATATGTGTGTTATCCGCTCATTTTAGTATGGATGCCAGTCAAATTTGTTGTGGAAGGGCGTTTAGTTGTTTATTTAAAATTGTTTTGTAAACAAGCACATCATTAAACTAAGCTGGATTGAGAATTGTGGATAGATTTAAGGGTGTCAATTGATGACCTGAAGTCACGACAGTTGTATTTAATTTAAGCGGGAACTCATTGATTGGGTTTATTTTAATTTCGATGGATGATATTTTGATGTGGCCTTGAGATGGACCCAGTAACTTATCATACTGACAATCACTGGCGGGTCCAGAAATTAGGTTTGGGGCGCTCTCATATTGATGTGGCCAAAGGCCGCATCCGCGCACCTCCGGTGGGCTGGGTTTGTCAATTGATTTGTCAGGTTTTTTTGGGGGGGCGCCTAGCGCTCGTGACAAATGTTAACAATCACTAT